AGCCCAAGAGTTTGAGGTTGCTGTGAGCTATGATGTCATAGCACTCTACCGAGGGTGACAAAATAAGACTCTGTCTCAATTAAAAATAAATAAATATTGGCTCAGTGCCCATAGAACAGTGGTTACAGTGCCAGCCACATACACCAAGGCTAGTGGGTTTAAAACTGGCCTAGGCCAGCTAAACAACTATGACAACTGCAACAAAAAAATAGCTGGGTGTTGTGGTGGGTGCCTATAGTCCCAGCTGCTTGGGAGGCTGAGGCAAGAGAATCACTTAAGCCGAAGAGTTTGAGGTTGCTATGAGCTGTGACACTACAGCACTCTACCAATGGTGACATAGTGAGACTCTGTCTCAAAACAAACAATAGATTAATAAAACTTGCGTGGACTTCTTTTCCCGCCTCCCTTTGCAGGGCAGCTGGGGAGAGGTGGGCCCGTAGGTGGCAGGGTGCAGGGGTTGTGGGGACCATTCTGCAAGTTCTCAGCCCATGACCTGCCACGCAGGGATGTGCTGCTGGACGGTGGCTCAGCTGTGGATGCAGCCATTGCGGCCCTGCTATGTGTGGGGCTCATGAACGCCCACAGCATGGGCATTGGAGGTGGCCTGTTCCTTACCATCTACAACAGCACCACACGTGAGTCTCTGGCAAGGGGCGCTGGAGAGGGGCAAGGGGTATGGGCTGGGGCTGGTATAGTGGGGTGGTTTCTTGGTCTCATGCACGGGGTGAGGGGTTGGCGTGGGTCCTCCTGCCTACCTGCTTCCTCTTCTAGGAAAAGCTGAGGTCATCAACGCCCGCGAGGTGGCCCCTGGGCTGGCCTTCGCCAGCATGTTCAACAGCTCGAAGCAGTCTCAGGATGGTAAGCCCTGACACAGGCTTGTGATTGGATGCACAGCTGGGAGGAGCCATTGGGAAGGGACCTTATTCTCTGGAGTGTGCTCCTATCTGGGACTCAGGAGCAGAGCAGCTCTAGAACCCTTCACACCTCCCTGGCCCCCTAACATCTTCCCCAGTATAAGGTCAGGACATCCCTCAGGGTAAAGGGGTGGGAGCATTTGATATGTCCACTCAGGGCCTACAGTGCCACCCTGTGGCAGCAGAGAAGAGGATACTTTTTTTTGGAGACAGTCTGTCACCCAGTAGAGTGACATGCCGTCATCGTAGCTCACAGCAACCTCAAACCCTTGGACTTGAGCAATCCTATTGCCTTAGCCTCCCAAGTAGCTGGAACTGTAGGTGTGTGCCACAACGCCCGCTACTTTTTGTATTTTTTAGTAGAGACAAAAGTCTCTACTCTTTGTATTTTTTAGTAGAGACGAAGTCTTGCTCTTGCTCAGGATGGTCTTGAACTCCTGAGTTCAAGCAATCCACCTGTCTCAGCCTCCTAGAATGCTAGGGAGGTCACTGTGGGTGGAGGGGATGGTGTATTGACCTCCATTTTACAGGTAGGGGTGCTGAGGCCCAGAGAGGTCATGCAAATCAGCTGAAGTCACACAGCTGGGAGGTGGTGAAGCTAAAATTGAACCCAGGCTATCTAAACCCTGCATTTTCTCTTTCTTTCTTTCTTTCTAGATAGTCTCACTTTATTGCCCTGGGTAGAGTGCTATGGCATCACAGCTCACAGCAACTTCAAACTCTTGGGCTTAAGTGATTCTCTTGCCTTAGCAACCCAAGTAGCTGGGACTACAGGCGCCCACCACAATGCCTGGCTATTTTTTGTTCCAGTTGTCATTGTTGTTTACCTGGCCCAGGCCGAGTTGGAACCCACCACCCTTGGTGTATGATGCTGGCACTGTAACCACTGTGCTATGGGTTCTGAGCCTTCTTTTTTGAGACAGAGTCCACTCTGTCACCTGAACTAGAATGCCATGATGTCAGCCTGGCTCAAAGCAACCTCAAACTCCTGGGCTTGAGCAATCCTCCTGACTCAGTCTCCCAAATAGCTAGGACTACAGGTGCCTGCCACCATGCCTGCCTAATTTTTCTAGTTTTAGTAGAGACAAAAGTCTCTACAAAGTGAGATGGGGAATCTCACTTTGCTTAGGCTGGTCTAGAACTTCTGGCCTCAATCAATTGTCCTGCCTTAGCCTCCCAGAGTACTAGGATTATAGGTGCGAGCCTCCACACCTGGCCATTTTTCTTTTTTTTTTTTTTTTT